TTGGAGAAACATTAAATGCTCATGAGGTTTAATTTACTTATTTAGTGCCCTACCAGTATGATTCCAAAAATAATATCTTATGGTCCTAGATATATAATGATACAATTTATACAAAGAAACAAAAGGTCAAGATTCTCAAGGGTAATTGAAAAGGAAAAGTGGTAAGAAAGATCTATCAGCATCAAATCTCAAATTGGCAGTACAGTTAAAGTAATTTGCTACATTTTTTTAAAGATGCTGATCAGTGGAACAGATTAGGTATACACAAGGTACACTGGGGTATGGTTGGTTGAACTGTGAACTGGGAGCTTTTCTAGAAATCAATTTAGAACTATGCACAGAAAGTTACCAAACTATTTACACTCTTTGTTGCAGGTATATCATTTTTAGGCCTATACACCAAAGAAATCAAAGAAAGGAAAAAGGGATCTCAATATATATAAAACTATAGCACCTCTTTTAGTGGTAGTCAAAAACAGAAGATTGAGTCTCTTCCTATTGGGGAATGGCTAAACAAATTTTGGAATATGAATGGAACAGAATACTGGAGGATGTGGAAAGAGTAAGGTAGAATAGAAAGTTAGAGAGGAAAGTTATAAAGGGTTTTGAAAACCCTTTAAAAAAGAATTTTATATGTAATCCTAGAGTTAATAGGGAGTCACTGGAGCTTACTGAATAGGTGGGAAGAGATAGTGATTTGGTTAAATCTGCATTTTAGAAAGATAAATTTGATACCTGAGTGGAGGTTGGATTGGAGTGTGGAGAGATTGGAAGGAGGGACACCAACCAGTAAGCTATTGCAATAGTCTAGACATGAGATGATAAAGGCATTTAGCAGAGTGGTTGCACTGTCAAAGGACAGAAAAGATGTTATGAAGGCAAATATGATAGGACTTGATTAGATATGGGGGCAGGTGATGAGAGAGTAAGCATTCAAAGATAAAAGCCAGGTTGTAAGTCGGAGTGACTGGGAGGATGGTAGTATACTCAACATTAATAAGCAAGTTAGGAAGAAGGGAGATAATGAGTTTAGTTTGTGATATGTTAAATTTAATATATCTACAAGATATCCAGTTTAAGATGTCTAATAGTTATTTGGAGGTGTGAGAATGCAGGTTGGGAGAATGGTAAGGACTAACCAAGTAGAATTGAGAATCATCTGCAGATATAAAAATTAAGTCCTTGGGAACTGATGAGATCATCAATCAAAATGGTATAGAAGGAGAAGAGGGCCCAAGACAGAGCCTTAGGGGACTCATAGTTAGTGATCATGAGAATCAGAAAAGAATGATGTCATGGAAACCTAGAGAGAAGAGAGTACTAAGGAGAAGAGAGTGATTAAAAGTGTCAAAGGTGGCAGAGAAGGAGGAGGATTGAGAAAGGCTACTAGATTTTATTTTACAATTAAGACATAATTGTTAACTTTGGAGAGAGCCATTTTGGTTGAATGATGAGATCAGAAGCCAGATCGTAGAGTTAACATGAGTTAGAAGAAAGGAAAGGGAGACACTTATTGCAGATGATCTCAAGAAGGTTAGCTGCAGAAGGAAAGGGTTTTTGAGGATGAAGGTATTCTGGTTTCAGGCAATAGGGAAGCAGTAAGCATATAGTGAAAAATCAAAAAGTAGTGAGAGAGGAGGGATGATAGAGGGGGCAACCTACCAGAGAAGACAAGAAGGAATGGAATCATTTGTGCACATAGAGGAGTTAGCAAGGAGAAAAGCCATTTCTTCATGTAAAACAGGGGTAAAAGAGAGAGCAGAAATGTTCAGTTTAGAAAAGATTAAGTGAAGAGTCTGTTTGAACTCCAAAATGAAAATAAATTTCCACAAAAAAGAAAGTGGTCATAAATGGCATAGCCCTTCAGAATGTCTGCTCAGATACATGGAAAATCACAAATTGAACTTTGGTCTGCTAAACAGTAAAATCACGAGGTCAGATTATGAAAAAGAGATATAACTGGGTTCCAAATCCTAGAAACGTCTGTATTAAGCCAGAAAATATTTCTCTTGGACTTTTTATCTAAGAGATAAACTGTGATTTTCCATAATCCTTTAGAAACTTGGTGAACTCTCCCAATCCAATCCACTAAATGTTTTTTAAAAAACACCTCAAACCAATCAAGAAATATTTGCTAAGCACCCATTGTTTTTAGGCACTGTTCAAGGTTTTGATGTAAAAGATACAAAAGATCCCTAGTCTCAAGGAGCTTACATAAGGAAAGACAGCATGTACATAGATTACATGTATTACAAAGTAACTATATGCATAATAAACACATAGCAGTTAGGTAGGAAAGGAATTAGTAGCTGAAGGGATTAGGAAAGGTTCTGCATATAAGATGGTTCTTGAGTTATATCTTGAAAAAGAGGGACTCAGTGAGTTTAAGATGAGGAAGTATTACTTTCCAGGCGTGGAAGAATGCATCCAGAATTATAAACAGTACTCTATATGTTGTCTGATTATGGTGTAAAGTGAAATGGGAATGACACTGATGGGGTTTGTGAGTAGCAGTTAGAGAAACCTGAGTCCCTCGGAGTTATCCTTAGAAGTCCGAAGTGAGTAGCAACCACTGATTTGAAGATGTGCCTCACCAATGCATCTGAGAGTTGGCAAAAGTAAGTAGCCTGCAGCGTAAGGAAGAGGGGAGTGTGGTACATACACACATTTTTATGGTTTTATATACATAAACAAGGAAATCTACCTAACTTTAAGATCTATGTAGAATTCAAAAGTTAATGAATTTGCACAGGAAGCTGTGATTTTCCATGTTCTCTTAGAAATTTGGTGGGAGGAATTAAACATTTCTGTTGAGCTCTCTCAATGCAACCAAATAAACAGCTTTTTAAAAAACACCTCAAATCAAAGTCTGAACGAGATAACAAAAAAAGTTACAAAATCTGATTTTTCCAGCCCAAGACATCTTGCTAGTGGACACTGGGGTGGAAGTAATTCAGAAATGAGCATGGAGGAAGTACCACCAGCTATGGGACTTGAAGAGGTGAGCAGCACGAGCCACAGTGGCAGCACTAAGAGTGCTAGGAGATAGGAAAAATATTACAGAGAGTCCCTGTGCTAGCATTAAGAGCATGATTAGGCCCCATTTGGCAGCTCCTTTATCCATTACCCAATTCTGAGTCAAAGTTCCAGGACAGAAAGAAGCAGGCAAAGCCTTTAGTCATGAGGGAATAGAGGCCTTACCTAGGTAAAGACCATAGCACAGACCAGAAGAATGATGAATAGAACTCCCCTCAGATCATACCACCTTTAAAGCACTAAAAATCTATAGCTCCCAAATTTAGCCATAGAATTGCAAGCTAGCCATCCCTCTATCCCAGAAAGTGAGTAGAACTTAATTGTAATATAAAGTCCAAAGTCAAGAAGTAAGTTGGAAAATATGAGCAAATGACAAAAAAGAAACTGACCGCAATGGGTATTTATAGTAGTCAAAATAACTTATTCACTCAAATTCATTCTCAAAACAATATTGTAGTTACTGTGCACAATATTCTCTTGGTTCTACTCATTTCATTCTTCATTATTTTGTGTCTTTCCATGTTTTTCTAAGATCATTGAGCTCATCATTTCTTAAAGCACAGTAGTATTCCATCACAATTATATACACCACAATTTATTCAGCCAATCTCCAATCCCTGCAATTTCCAGTTCTTTGCCACTACAAAGAGAGCTGCTATAAACATTTTCGAACATATAGATTCTTTTACTTTTTTCTCTAATCATCTTTGGAAATAGACCAAGTAGTGGTATTGCAGGGTGAAAGGGTATATATAGGTAGTTTAATAACTCTTTGAATTAGTGTCCCAATTTTTCCACATCCCCTCCAACATATGTCTCTTTCCCCATCAATCATTTTAGTCAATCTGATAGGTGTAAAATGATACCTCAAGGTTGTCTTAATTGGTATTTCTTTAATCAATGATGATTTAGAGCATTTTTTGTATGACTATAAATTGTTTTGATTTCTTCATTGGAACACTACCTGTTCATATCCTTTGACTATCTATCAGTTGTGGAATTGGGGAACATTTCTAGTCATCCTGATCTATATCTTGCAACTGGACCCAGATGGCTCCAGAGGAGAAGTGAAACTGGTGACTTCGCACAGCCCTCCCTCACTTAAATCCAATTCACTTGCAAGTCATGGCATCACCTTCTGGATGCCATGGTCCTCTTGGAGAACAAAGAACAAACAACAATATCTGGGGAATGACTTGTATTCCTATAGATTAGACAAAGTTCTTTATATATTTGAGATATGAGACCTTTATCTGATAAACTGTCTATAAAATTCTACACACACACAAACACACCAATTTTCTGCTTTCCTTATGATCTTGGCTACATTTGTTTTATTTGTACAAAACTTTTTAATTTAATGTAATCAAAATAATCCATTTTATACCTAACTTTGTTTTCTATCTCTTGTTTATTTATAAATTGTTCACCTATCCATAAGTCCGATAAGTAATATGTTCCATGTTCTTCTAATTTTCTTGTAATATTTTTTTATCTAGGCCATATATCCATTTTGAGCTTATCTTGGTAAAAGATGTAAGATACTGATCTATACCCAGTTTCTGCCATACTGCTTTCTAATTTTCCCAACAATTTTTACCAAATAATGAATTCTTATCCTCAAATACTGAGTCTTATCTTAAGGGTATTATGTTTATTTGCTTTTGTAAATTATATTGCATATCATATTTCTTGCCTTCTCAGTAGGTGGGGGTAGGGTGAGAAGGAAGGAGAGAATTCAGAACTAAAAATGTAACATTTTTAAAAGGAAACTTAAAGTACAGAAAAAATAACAGCTTTTCCATTTAAAAAGTTATTTGTATATTAGCAAGCATGCAGTACGTGGGTTACCATTCAACAAGCTTCAATATTTTGTATCTTGCTTTAGTTTATTTCTATTCAATGTACTCAATAACATAACAGCATATAGTGAAAATGGAGGAAAAAGAGGTATCCACACTTACCTTTTATCTAAATGATGAATAGATAGGATAACACCTGAATTTAACTGTATTTGTTTTAAGGTCACCAAAATAGTGAACTCATGCTCATTTCGTAACTTCTGAAAAAATTGTTCAGCAGTAGCAATGGATGCTTTTACACTCCTTGAAGTATCTAAAAATAAAGCAAAAAAAAATACTAATTATAGGCTAAAATTTGTCTTTATATTAGCACCCAACAAGTTTTTAAAAATTTTTCTGAATAATGATTTATACACAATAGGATAGTGATTGTGTAAACAAATATTTGTAACTAGATGAGAGGGCTCAAAGAACAATGAACATTAAAATGTCTAATTAAAAGCTAGTCCATTATATTATATCTCATTTTCAAGAGCAACAAGGTCTACCTGAACAGCTCCAAGACAAAATATTTTGACTCATGTCAAAATTTTGATCCTGCAGTCCTCTTTTATTATTGGCATGTGTTCTTGATGTCTACCTCGATGTTTTCAATTCAAAAACTGGATTTAAAACAATTCTACTTTGTACATTGATTCCTTGAGCTGGAAGGCTTGCTTTAAACAAAATTCAAGATTACTAAATTAGTCATTCTCATCCTTTGGTGTTTCTGATTTAAAAAAAAAACAACTACCCAGCATATGCTTGATGCTTATGAAATATAAAGATAAAAGTATCTTTCATTTGTTGAATAGAGTATATGCATTTCAATATATATTTCCTTCCCCTATCTTGATGTGAATGATCATAGGTAGAAGCATAATCTTTTGGCCAAGAAAGTTTTAAAAAGGAGACACAAAATCTTGTCCAATATTCACACAGCCTTAGAATGCAAAGATCAATGATGAAACACCCAGGAAGAGTAATAGAGCTATATTGGGAGTTTGGGAGATACAAAGGAGGGAGGATTAGTCTTGGCTATCCCCTATCCATGAAGAAAATTCTCCACATAGTAATATTTGGGTATAAGGAAAGCCTCACATACATATAAGGAAAGCTGACATACATTTGGAGGCAGTTACTTGGAGTATTCAACTCTTCCTTTTTTTCCTAAGTGTAAACCTGAGTGAAAAGGAGATTTTCTAATCACTGTAAAGTTCTCTTTTTTATGTTGTTGCTCAGTTCAGTTGTGTCTGACTCTCCATAGCATGCCATTTCTCTCTATGGGGTTTTCTTGGCAAAGATACTGAAATGCTCTTCTAGTTTCTTCTCCAGTGAATTAAGGCAAACAGAGGTAAGTGACTTGCCTAGGGTCACATAGCTAGTAAGTGTCTGAGACCAGATATGCACTTATGTCTTCCTAACTCTAGGCCCTTTCCACTGAACTGCCTAGCTACCTCTTCTTTCCATAGTCAAGAAATATTCATTCCCCAGAATAACAAAGACAATAAATCAAAGTCATAAGCAAAATCTCAAAAAGAAAAAAAACACATACGTTCATAAACAATTGAAAGCCTACTTCAATCACTCAGAAATGTATAATAATAGTAAGAGCCACCTTAAATTCTCACCATATTTTGTCCTATTATACTATTAGGTAAATAGTGATCATACCTGTGTCCATTTTTAGTCAAAGGTAAATAGAATGAAAGAGAAGTTGGATGATTTATGTAAAACCATATGGCAAGTTAGGAGTGAAACTCAAGTTAGGTCTCAGATCTCATCATTTACATACCACATTCCTTCTATTATATATCACTCATCTCTGCTCTGCTATTTGTATTGTGCACCTTGTATACCCCTAACTACCCCTATTCATTATTTGCCAGATTTTGAATCTGAGGATCTTTAGTCATGAGTCTGTGCTTCTAATTTACTTTGAAGGTTTTTATCAAATGATAAAAACATGTGAGTGAAAAAGCATTGTTTAAAGATGATTAACATAGTTTAAATATACAACTTATAAATTTACTACACTGTCTAATTTTTTTTAAAATCACATGCAGGATTAAATGAGTCATTTGATTTTTCCGAAAGCTTCATGGTGTCAATCTTATGCATGTGATTTTTATCATTCACATAATCTTTTATACAAACCAATCAGTAATATGTTAATAAATCAATTAATGCATGATGAAGGGAATGGAATAAGCATTTATATAGTACCTACTATGTGCCAGGCACTGTGATAAGTGCTTTTAACAAATATCTTATTTGATCCTCAGAATAGCCTTGCAAAATAGGTGCTATTGTTATCCCCACTTTCATTGTTGTTGTTCAGCTGTTCAATCATGTCTGCCTCTTTGTGACCGCATGGACCACAGCATGCCATTTTGTCTTTTATCTTCCCATTTTTAATGAAATGTTCCCTTAATATCTCTAATTTTCTTGAAGAGATCTCTTGCCTTTCCCTTTCTATTGTTTTCTTCTATTTCTTTACATGTTCATTTAAGAAAACCTTATCTCTCTTTGCTATTCTGCGCATTTCTACATTCAGTTGGGCATATCTTTCCCTTTCTTCTTTACCTTTCACTTTCTTCTTTTCTCAGATATTTGTAAAGCCTCATCAGACAGCCATTTTGCTTTCTTGCTTTTCTTTTTCTTTGGGATATTTTTTGTGGCTGCCTCTTAGATGATATTGTAAACCTCTGTCCATAGTTCTTCAGGCACTCTATCTAATCTCTTAAACCCCTTCATCATCTCTACTTCATATCCATAAGGGATGTTATTTAGGTCATGCCTATATGGTCTGATGGTTTTTTCTACTTTCTTCAACTTAAGTTAAAATTTGGTAATAAGAAGCTCATGATCTGAGCTGCAGTCAGCTCCAGGTCTTATTTTAACTGACTATATGGAGCTTCTCTACCTTTGCTTACAAAACATATAATAAATCTGATTGATGTCCATGCAGCTTGTTGAAAAAAAGTGTTTGCTATGACCATTGAATTATTTTGACAAAAAACCCTGCTTCATTTTGTACTCCAAGGCCAAACTTGCCTCTTTTCTAATTATCTTTTGATTTCCTGTTTTAGCATTCTAATCCTCTATGATGAAAGTGACATTTTTTTTAATGTTACTTCTGGAAGATATTGTAGGTCTTCATAGATTTGATCATCTTTGGCCTCTTTGGTATCAGTGGTTAGAGCATAAACTTGTATTGCTGTGATGTTGAATGATTTGCCTTGGATTTAAAGAGGTATCATCCTGTCATTTGTGAGATAATTTCCCAGTACTGCTTTTATCACCCTTTTATTGACTATGAGGGCTACTCCCTTTCTTCTAAGGGATTCTTGCCCACAATAGCATATATAATGATTATCTGAATCAAATTCATCCATTCCCATCCATTTTAGTTCACTTACTAAAATGGATGGGAATGGACAAATTTAATTTTAGTTCACTGGTGGGGTTTATAGGATGTTTGTGGAGGACTAGCACCTTTGATGTGAGGGTATACCAAGCCCTTTTCAGGGCTGCTCATCCACCTTTGGTATTCACCTTTCACCCATCTGTCACCTATGGTTCCAAGAAGCTGCAGCATGTGTAGTGGCCATACCTGGTAAACCTTCCCAGCAGATGGGCTCAAACTAGGTTTAGGGTAACTGATAGGCCTCAAACCCACCAATGAGTTAGGGAGGTATCTACCCCAAGCATATAAATACTTCTCCCAGGGAATGGGCAGGTGAGAACAATTTGTTCCAACAGCCAAGAATGCTGCTGAAGAAGGAACTGTGGAGTGCTTAGAGCTTGGTCAAAGGTCAAAAGAAGCAAGGTTATCCAATGCATCCTGGGCCATCACCCGTTTTCTGCCACTGGACTTCAACAGCTCCGGAGAAGAAAGTGAGGCTGATGCCTTTGTGCAACTTTGCCTCACTAAAATCCCACTAAAAACCCATGAATCAAGATATCACCCCATGATGCCATTGCCATTTAAAAAAAATAATGACATTCTTAGGCAATATGTCTAGCAGTGAGATTTCTGGCTCAAATAACATGGACAGTTTTGTCATTTTATTTGCATAATTACAAAGAGCTTCCTAGGGAGGTTGTACTAATTCACAGCACCACCAATGTCTAACCCCTCCAACACTGACTATTCCCATTTTTGTCTTCTTTGCCAGTTTTCTCAGGACCATTTTTATGTATATTTTCTCTTGTTATTAGTGATTTTGAGCATTCTTTCATAGTCTTTTACAGTTTGCAACTCCTTTGTTCATATCCCTTGACCACTTATCTATTGGGGTCTTATATATTTGGTTTAATATATTTCTGTTGGCTGTCCATACATATTAGAAGCTAAACTCTCATTAGAGAAATCTGATACAAATATTTTTCCCATGCAATCAATTCCCATCTTATTCTAGACCCATCAATTTCATTTCTGCAGAAACTTTTCAATTGTGTGCAATCAAAATTACTTATCTTTTATAATTGTTTCTATCCCTCGTTTGGTTAAGAATTCATATTGTACTTAGTACTTTCAAAAGCTCAGTACTTATCTTCTAATTTTTGTAGTGGAAACAGAGAATTTAATATTATATTATTATATTAATAACTAATTATTAATTGTGATCCATGCTTTTTCCTTCATTTTCTGTAAAGGCCCCAACTCCTGTTAAGGTCAGTCAGTATCTGAAAGGCATGGCTGATTGATTAGCTTTGTGGAAATGGAGTAGTTAATGACTTTACTAACCACCTTGATTTTCTTGAGCTCCCTTACTATCCAGAGAAGGCTGGACTAACGTGGGAATCATAATCAACCAATAAGGAGGCAGACTGAGCGACCCTTGAGCTTGATGTACCAGAGATCCTTTTCAGTGTTCACTTACAGAACCTGGAACTTCCTCTGCCGTGCCAGCAACCATAGTACCAACATAAGCCAATTCATACCACCTGTAACAGACAGAATGAGCACAAGCATTCTAGTTCTGGGATCTCGGGGACTTTTCAGCCTGACTCTTTTCCTTGTTCCACATACCCTGAGGTGCCTCATGACTTCTGTGAAGCAATCCCTTACCAGGGAAAATCAAACCCAAGCTGGCAGTAGCTGAGTGGGCACACAACCATTCCCATTCAGCTTTGTGGTTTCTTTTCTTTTTTATAATATGTGCAGCCTAATCTCAAAGTGAGCTCAGTTCTGACTGCAGCCCCTCATGCAGGCTGCCAGCTTGAGAGAAATAAAACATAGACAACTTAATTCTGTTCATCTTTCTT